ACCACTTAATTCGTTAATGATTAAAGATATGAATCTGGAAATCATAGATGGTAAAAAAAGGTTTATTGATTTTGGAAATGATGAAATTGTAATTCGACTTACTTTAAAAACAAAAAAAATAATCAAATTCATAGTTTTCATCCAAACTCAATTCATCTTTATCACAATAAGGATGCATAATTCCTTCACTACATGGTGGTTTTCTTTCAACAAGATTCAAATAACTTCTAAAAACTTTATTTTGTTTTCATCATACTTTTGAATAACTATTCCATTGGTGAAACTCTTTTCCCATCTTTTGTTAACTTCATTTGACACGTCATATCCACTAGCCAACTGTGTGTAATCCTCTACACTTATCTTATCATTAGAATAACCTTTAAATGTTTTCTTTTCTTTTAAAATACCATCAGCAGTTAGAATGATATTGTATTTGGCTTTCGGTACTAAATATAAACCGATTATGATTCCATCATCGCCGTAATCATTCTTTCCTAATCCAGCTTCATTTAATTTATTCCAATTTTAAGATGAAATGTATATCAGTATCTGTATAGTATATTTCAGGCTTATCAAATCCTTCTATTACATGAATATAATTATTAATTTTTTTGTGACAATACGAATGACTTGTTGTTGAGTTGATTTCTTTTTCTTCATTTTCTGTTTCAACGATATATTGGGTATCATTAATTTTTCTTCTTCTGGTAGAAACGCTCTAGCACTTTCTGCTTATGGATATTCACTGTCTAAATTTGACATAGCAGAAGCATACAAACCGTTAGCATCGATATGCCTTTAGTTTAGAACATGTCTCGTTTATTTTTAACCTCTGTTTTACCTTTTTTACTTTAACTATACACTTTAAATAAATCAATTATATTATCACTGTTGAGTTCGGTATATTCCTTTAATACGTTACAAATTTCACCCATTTTATCTGTCATAAATGATTTTCTATTTTCCAAAACTCGTTCTCCTTTAATAGATTGTCTGAATTATCTTATAAAAGGGCGTGTATGTGAGTAAACTTTTTCTATATTCTGTTTTTCGGAACAAGTCATGCCATTTCGTAATATGGTTCTTCAACCATTTCTTTATCGTAATGATACAAATAATACCAACCCTTAAAATATAGAGATGGAGCAGTTAGATTATTGGAAATTCTGGAATACAACTTCTTTCATAACTCATGTTATATTTTATCAAACGAGCTCCAAGACATAGGGTATCCCTTTTAGCATATGGTTCCCATTTGTGTTTTGCAAATTTTTTGCAAATTTTTTAGATTTTTCCTGTTGATAGGAACATGTGAAATTAATACAGTGTAAATAATTGTTATTACTTGCTATGTTTTTTCTTTCTTTTCCATTTTTTTCTGTAAATCTTCATCAGTGAATGGATTAGATAAAGGTATAGAAAAAGATTAACATTGATTTTTCATAACAGTAGTGGTTTTGATAACTGTGTTGTACTTAA